ATAAGTGGCGAACGATAGTGAGCTACAACAATCAGCACCGCGGGAGGGAAGGCTTAACCATTTTTGTCGCTTGAGGCTTTCCAGCAAAATCAGTAGAGGCAACCTCCCAAATCAATATAACGAAGAAGTAGATTGAAGCAACTCGAAATGATACTAGATATTGCGACTGATGACTACACATAGACTGTGGGGGCGAGCAACAGCTTCCAAGAGAGCAAATACCTCGTCGGCACACAAAGGTCGAAACCACCTTTTCAGCACAAATTGCGCGAGGCAGTCAACATTCGTTCTCCTATAATACATAATTTCTTCACCATTTCAGGTCGCTTACCCAACACGTAGTGTTGGTTAAGGTTAAGTTAGTTGGAAGTCGACCAACGAAATCTGATGACAACAGTAAGCCATTCAGTAAGCTTAGACAATAAGTGGTGGAATGTGCAAAGGCATTCACAAATTGCCGTGCAGTTTTTGACAGCCGATATTTAGACGTTGTGTTATTCGTAAAAGTTTAATGCGTACGTTGGACGAAACTGTGACTGAGGTCATACAAGCCCCAACGACCAACCCTAACTACACCCATTTGTAAAAAGTTTCGGTAAAGAATAAGGGAGCTATTTTCACCACGTTATGCATCATTAAATTATCAAAAGTAGCGAGATGGTCCAGGGTTATCGCTGGCTGGGTAGTTCAAACTTCCCAACCAAGGAACGAGTATGCTGCACGCGCGGAAGATACGAATGCATGTGCAGTCTACTACACACCTATAATTGTGAGACAGTTATATGGGCGGACTCCAATGGGCTAAGAAGAAAGCCAATTTACATTCGTAGTGAATAGCGGTGTTCGAAAACACCACAGGCCCTGAACTGAAGGCGACGTCCTGCTACATGGTACTTTAAGTTATAAACGATGCGGTAGTTAGAAAAACTACTGATATAGTAAATATACTGTTGTAATCAACAACTCACAAAACATCAACAAAAAAGCAGCAGAAATCGAGCGCATAACACTTCGAATAGTAAAAAATATGGCCAACTGCTTAACTGCGAAATTTATTTGCCATTTACACATCCTGGAAGCGGGTCGTAGACAGTACAACGCTGTGTGTTTAAGGGAATCATGGGCACATATTGCAGACAAATGCCAGCTACCTGTTAAATATAATCACACGAAGATGCAAATAACCTTACACATCGCTAACAGAACCAACTTAACGACATATAAGAACCCCCATAAAAACGACAACGGACGCGTAATAAGTCCGGTAGGGCTTATTGGCATTGACCATACTTTCTATAAAAAACGCACATTACATAAAGTAAAAAAGACGATTTCAAATTCCTTCAATTTACTTAGAAATCAGTTGGCAGTCTGGGCATACTGCCAAACATGGATGCGGTTGTCCGTGTAACCAGCGAAGAGGGTTTGGCCATCAGCAGACCAGGCTAGACAGGTGCACTCGGGAGCCTTCGTCTTCTTGATGCCATCACTATTGGTGAAGGTCTCGACCTGCAGTTTAGCAACCTGAATCTTGTCTTCGAGATTCCAAATCTTGACATATGGTCCAGTTGCGGCGCACAGCCAGTACCGCGTTGGGGAGAAACATAGCGAGTT